ACAAAAGGACAGCAAGTAGGGCAGGCAGATAACTGTGGCACAGCATCTCACTACTGTGGCTGCTCATTCTCTGTTTCATGCTAGCTGCAGCTGAGGGTCAGCACTCGGGACCTTCCCGGCTGCTCGAGCAAAAGAGTGCACTGTCCCTGCCTCCGCCACGGCTCTCGCCTGCTTCTGCACAGCTATGTTCCCCTGTGGTACCTCGTAGCCCTTCCACAAAACTCACGTCCAAGTAGTTGATAAGAGGCTCGTTGGCTTCCTGGAAAACTGAACAGTCCTCGGTGTACTGGATCATGTCTAGCTTGTGAGCCTTCCAGAAGTCGGACAGCTGTCTACGGTCCCGCAGGATCTTCCGCAGGGACTTGTGTCTCCTCAGGGGCACCCTAGGGAAAAAAAAGCATCCTCCCAGTAAGTGAGGTCCTGAGCAGCAGGAACTAGAAAACTGGAAGAACAGCAATGGGTGCTGAGAGGGAGACACTGCCCTGGTACATGGGATGGGTATCACTATCACCAGCTTTGATTTTTTTCAACCTCTCCCAACCTGCTGGCTTGTGCGGCATCAAAATGATGTCCCCTGTCTTCATGGGGAAAGTCAGGACAGAGATTGGAGGTGGAAATCCCAGTCCGTTTGCCTGCTGACTGCAGTGGCTGCGACCTGGTAATGATTCCTTTGCACCTCCCTGGCCCTGCTCCACCTAGGTCCTCAAAGGGGTTGAGAACTGCATTGATGCTGGCTCCCCACCCTCACCCGAGCAGGCAGAGCTGTCCCTGCTGTTGCCAGGCACAGAGGCAAAGAGACTGGCTCAGCAGGTGATGCACACAGGAATAAAACCCAAGGGCCTAGAGCCAAACAAGCTGCAATGGAGAGTAATATAGACAGAAACCAAGGAAACTAAAGTCATCAAAATGGATATCACTTGTAAAATGAGCAGAAATAGAGGTGGTCTCACTGAGGAGCTGAGAGCTGGTGTAAGTACAGAGGGAGGCTCTTTCAGCTCGCTTCTTCCTCCCCATTCTCGCTCTTCCTGGCATCTCCTTTTCCTCCAGCTGCTCCATGCGTGATTTACCCCAGCCTAGATTCCCTTCTACCTGCTTACCAACAGGTAACTCATATTGCCTCAGATGTCCCATCCAAAGTTCCCCCACCTCCCCTTCTTGCTGTATCCATCCCTGGAGTTATCTCAGAAGATGTTGGGGCAAGGAACCAGCCACCCGGAAGATATTTTTGGTAGAAGTGGAAGCACCTTGGCTCCTTGCAACACTGGGTCTGACTGGCGTTCTCACTCAGCCCGTTGAGTCCAGGAGACGGAAATTTCCCATGCAGGATGTCAGGGACACCTCTCTCTCCTGAAAGGCTGAGCATGTGGTCCTGGCTGTTGATCATTTTAATGCTCTCTAGTGCAATAGTCCACAGGTCCTTGGGAACGAGCCTTTGGTAAACACTGGACCTACCAGTGCCTGAGTGCCTGGAGAGCTAAGGAAACCCGCTTACCTTTGCAACCCACTAGCCAGCCAAAGGCAAAGCATCAGAAGAAGCAGCCGCTGCATTCTGGAGGCTCAGGTCCGATGCTTCGTCCAAGCTGCTTTCTCTAACTGGTGAGAACAGAACAAATGCTTTGCTCTTATACCATCAAGCACCACCCAGCCCTGATGTATTTGAGCCCTGCGATAAGACTCCTTAATGTCAACATTGAGCCTTTGCAACGGGAATGAATCACTGGTCACCTCCTCCATCCTGGTGGCAGGTGCTTAAACGCCAATGGGCAGGTGGTTCCCTTAGCTGGGACAGGTTTTTGCACAGAAGTAGTAAGGCCCATCCAAGGCGTCCTGGAGTTTCCCTAGAATCCTTCCATTGCTGGCGGGTGGGAATAGAGTCCCTGCATTTAAGACATAGTTGCAGTTCCAGAGACGGGTTTTTTACATGCCTGGCGTTGGGGAGGTTGATGGTTTTTGTTGGAGTTATCCATTTCCTAGGTTCTACTGACCACATTTTGCTGGGCTTCAGTCCCCACTTTCTGCACAACAGGGATAAAAGCCTTTGCCTATTCCGTTGCAAGGAATTTGGGGCAAGGAACATAGTTATGTGCACAGTGCTGAGCACATCAAGGCCCTGATCATGGCTGGAGCTGCATGCATTACTGCCATACCATCACACCCTCTGCGAAGCCACTAAGATTGTAGCTGGCCTCCACCTCCTGATATTACCAGTTCCCTGTGGTGATGTGTAGGCACTCTTGTGTCTTCTTTCCCCCTTCATTTATTTCCCCCTTCATTTATTCCTCTTTCTCCCCACTTCCACTTGTCACCACCCACAGGTGTCTCTGCTGGTCCCCTCTGAAGGGCATTGGGTCCAGAGTTAAATGATACGATGGAAACTCCCCTCCTGCCTTTCTGGCAGCAGAGGAAATGCCATTTTCCATTTGGCTAGCAGTCTCATTGCTCCCCACTCACACCTACCCAGGGCTGTGACCAGGCCTGTCTTCTTCCCCTGCCTCTAGAACTGCAGTTACCCCCTGACATTAGCTTACTGGCTTGAGACAGAGATGGGGAGGCCTGTTACTAGGTTGAAGCTTTATACAGGGACTTAAAGCTTTGCTCAGACTCACTCTGGGCTGGTTTGATGGGACAGGGCTGCCACCTTCTGACCAGAGGGAAAATTGCTGGTAGAAAACTGTATTTTCTACAAGGAAAATGCCCCCCTTTGCTTTTATTGCTGAGGATGCGTTTCTGAAAACTATTAGCAAAACGTTTGTCTTTCATCTCTCCCTGCACCCTTTTCTCCCCCGTCTCCCCATTTCCTTTTCCTCTTCCCTCTTTTTCCAGTGGCAAAATAAACAAAATAAAAAACCCAAAAGGGCAAAAAAATTAAAAATCCTAAAATGCCAAAAAAAAAAGGGGGCTTCAGGTATCCTGATTGTAGCCATCTTGGTCTACAGGCAAAAAGAATCAAAACTCGTGGCAGAGGTGATATCTTTTATTAGACCAACTAGATAATTGCAACAAAAAAAATTCTATATTTGTAAGCTTTTGGGCGCACAAACCCTTCATCAGGCGTAGGAGATTGCAAAGATTGTAGAAGTTCTCCTAGGTAGCAGTGAAAATTCATATTTCAGAAAAAAGCTTCAGAACATATTAAGTCTCAGAAAGGAACAAGAGAACACAACAGAACCAAACCATTCCCCCTGACATCTTTTTATTTAAAAGGCCATTTTGACATGAAGTATTGACCAGTTATGTAACTGAGATTCCTGGCCTCGTCATTACCAGCCTTGATTATTGATCTGTTTGCTTGAACTTGAAAAGGGAGGCTTATGGAGCTGAAGAATTAACACCCCTGCAGTCATTCATACCATGGACTACAGCACATTATTGATCCCTGATCATTCTTTGATGCAGCTTACATGAAAGTTGCTACACAAAATAATTCCAGACTCTGCTGCATTACATTTCAGCCTGTGTAGCTGTGATTGCTCTGTACAGAAATCTCCAGTGACACCAGTTGACCCCCACGGTCTTGCTGAGGCTCCTGTGTTTAAAGGTCTTGGCGAGGCAGAGCACAATATGGTACAGTAGTCTTTAGCAAATGCCAGTCTGCTGTGTTTATGGATTGGCTATGCATGGCAATTAGCCCACAGAGCGGGGAGACTGCTTTTTCTCATAATTATTCAGGAAGGTGCTGGTGCATTGCTGCAGGAAATTAATGCATCTGTGTAGTCAATTAGGAACCAGTGCCCCAAGCACAGCCTGAGTTGTTTGGTTTGGTGTCCTGGTAAGAAGGCTGGAAAGGTGGGGGTAACCAATGGTCCGATGAACCTGCTAAAAATCAGATGTAGGGCTTGCTGCATGCTGAGAGCTGGGGTCTGCTACAAGGAGGTGAGATACCGGCTTCAGCCACTGGCTGTGGGTATGGGTACACGGTGGAGTTCAGGAAACAGAGTGGGTGGGGTTGTTTCCTGTGCAATATGGAGAAGACAGGGAAACCACATTCGCACAGCTGGATTCCAAACTGCCCGGCTTAGTAAGGATGCACAGATGTGCATGGCAGAGCTGCTGCTGTCTCCTGCTGCTCAGTAGGTTTTGGCGCTGTGTTTTCCTTTCCCAGGCATCCCCCGCCCCTCTCCTGGCTGCAGGGAGAGAGAAGGCACGGAGGCCTTTCTAGTGGTTTTATGCCACTAAGGCTCCTTCGTCAGAGGTGACTAGCCGCAGCCAAGGAGCTGGGAGGAAGTTCACAGGGCATTTAGGGTCCAGCTCATACTTCTGGAGGCTCCTCTGTGGGAGAGCAGGAGTGAGGTGTATAGTTACAGTGGCTCGTACATGGGAAGGACATGAAGCCAGGTGTGTGGCTCAGCTGTGGCACTGTGCACTGTAGTACTGGGATGCTGGGCACTGAACACTGGCCATGGCTGATGAGAGCTGGGAAGGCATGGCAGGGACTGCTCCCAGCTGGGGACAGAGCTGATCATTGTATGGAAAAGGACCATGTCTAGCTGCATTTCCATCCCCCT